TATTTTAACCAACTTACATGACATTCTATGTTATATTGACTTTATCATATGAAAGTTTATGGTGCATTTCATCAATTAATAAATAAATGTGAAAATCGTAATTTTCAACACAAATAATAATCTCGCTACCTTAAATCCATGTGGCAACATGTCAACATATGTACTTTCTTCTTGACAGATATTTGAAGTTTTTGGACCAGTGATTTGTCCTCTCTACGCCATCAGATTCAATTCCACTGAACATATCAAAAGTACAGGTGTCGATTTGAAGATGAAAGTGTTCTATGCACTGGACTCTCCAGAATTCACATCTTTTGTATTAATGGAACAATTAAGAAAGTAAGTATTTAGTCACTATAATACAAATATTATGTTACGTATGGGACACCTGTTGGATCACAATACATTGCAACACCTGATCGATACTGGTCATGCACGTCCATGTATGACTGTTAAAGTTGTATTGTTAGAAAAAATTTAGTTTTAAGCCTTTGACTTTCAGTAATATGTATACTTTAATAAATACAAAAGCTATGGAATTTGCAAATTTGCCTTTCCTATTTAATAGTCAAACATCGCAAGCTGTCCCGTCGCTTCGGTTGTTGATTGAGTTTTCAGTAACTTTTTGTGGCGTTTCCTGAATAACCATTATGCCTATTTATCTATGTACCTATTGCTACCACATAGTCTGAGTGAATGTCCATTTTATGTACTTCCTAGGTTAGTGTGCATGCTGCCAGAACAGAATTCGAAAAGCAATGCATGATGGGATTTATTGTGATGACAATAAATAACTTTAATAGTCGATAAAGATACAAGGCGCCATGTTTTGATCAGTATAACTTGTTGTTTTGATATTATTAATTTCATTAATTAACCACTATTTATGTATAATTGTGAGTATTTTGGAGCAAATTGACTTAATTTTCTACTGGCTACATGTCTTACTCAAATTATTTTTGGAATAGTGACAAAAGTTGACTTAGGTGCCGAAAGGGTTGATTTTTGATTTTTTCTTCCAAATCATATTATAATTGTGCTGAACAAATAATTCTCACAATTTAAACAAATATTTCATACCAATTCACTTTGTCCCAAGATCAAAATAAAGCTACAGAAATGTTGTCATGTCATACTTATATATCTGTAAAGTAACGATGCATGGAATGTCTTACAATACTTGGCTCACTGCAGAATGAAAGGATCTGATGCTTCTTGGAAGAATGATGAAGAGCCTCCAGTTGAGTTTCTTGATTACAGCGATGAGAGAAGGAAGTTGAAGCTAAAGGCAAACTCAAAGGCAATAGACGAAAAAGATCTCAGCGGTAATATACTAGTATTGTGAAATTTTAGCTCGAATTAATTTGCGATGAAAAGGCATTTTGTTGTCAATGATGTGCCAGTCAATCAACTCAACTAGTTGTGTCACAGCAAATTTTTGTGTGTCAGCGACACGTTATATATACTTAAAGGTCACACTGGCTCCAGTTGATAATTATTAAACAAGAATTTGTAATCTAATCAGTTTTTCATTATTATTTTTTTTCAGATCTTTTCAAAACAATGCTGTTGAGGGAAATGTAACACACCAATCACAACAATCAACTCGTCGCAGCTTTCAATCACAACAGCACCAACAAGGTACATGTGTGTACTTTTCATAAATAGATAAAAGCTGCTTGGACCTATAAATATAATGTATATTAAATATTTGGTAATTGTTGTACAAAATTTTGAGCAATGTCTCTTTTTTGGTACAATATAGGCCATGGCTAACACGTATTGATACAGAAATTTCTTGAATCTTTGCTAAATTGGGTGTTTGCTAAATTGGCTATTTAAAAGTTTGGTGCCCAATGCAAGTTTATAGTTGACAATAATTTGTAATAAAATGTAATAAAAACACCACAAAATAGTGTTGGTTTACAGATATAAACCCACAGTTTTGGTCAGAGTCGTGTATATTGCGTGAGGGCATTAGCTAGTCTTTCAGACTTGTACCATGAAAAAAACAATAAAATTGGAAGAGTCAGCATTGCAAGTGCACATATGATATGATGTCAATCATTTCTCATTTCAGATACACAACCCAGAAAAGCATGGAATAGATTTGTTCGTCCTCCACAAGCACAAGTTCAAAATTGCTGGCCAGTTGCATGCCCAGCTCAATTTCAAGGTCCATGCCAAGGGTCTGTATCAACTTTCTCACCAGGAAGGCCAATGTTTCCCCCAAATTGTGGTCCACCTCGGTTCGAAAACCAAGTAATGCACCCTCACTTTCTGCCATGCCCGCCACCCACTCAGCAAAGACTGCCTCTTTCACCTCCACCGTCTGGCGTACCAATGCACAGTTTTCCACCTCAACATTTCCTGATGCCACGCCCTTTGCTCAACAACCCACATCTGTTGATCAATCCATTTCAAGTGGGGTTATTGCCACCACCCCCTCCACCCCCACCAACATCATCCCCTCCTCCACTGCCACCAGCTCCGCCGGTAAACTTTGGCAACCTCACAATGCACCAAATCCCACCATTCCAGTGAACCAGTATCATGTACCGGTATATATAAAATGGTTTATATTTTCTTTTTGTGCTAATAAAGTTTAGTACTATGTATAAATATGTAGATTTCTTTTCATATTAAAATGAGATGATGTATACAGTCATTCTCCTGTGCATTTTATTTTAAACAACATGTGTTGTATAGCTAATGCAATTTAAACACAGTTCGGCATGATGACTGATACTTGAAAACTTCTGCACAGAATATCATAATTTCTTAAATGTCCCTTCCCTTCCATAAATAACTATTTGCATTATGTACATTAAAAAATATGTTCTTCCTGTTGTGATGTTTAAAAAAATACAATTGCATTAAACTTTTATTTTGCAATTCAGTAAAAGATTACACTGCCTAAGTGGGAAAAAACAATTGGCTTATTTGTTCCATTAGCTGGGACATTAATTTAAATATACAAAATGCGACTATATCCCCTTGCCTGAAGGCATCTAAGGTTCTATGGTTATATCAATAATTTCCTTTTTAATCACTTAAGTGATTGGAGCATTTAAACTTTGACACTTGTGTCAAAAATATTTAATTGTGTGTGTGTTTCGAATAAATACAAACACAAATACATTTCTTAGTGGTTAGTACCGGTGGAAAATGATCACGGCAGGCTGATCATGGTAACACAATCCGGTCATTCTGTGTTTCGCAAGCGAATAACTTACTTGTTTTCAAAGTATTGCAATTGTTGATTATTATTCAGTAATGATTATAATAACGTACAAAAACTAAATTCGTTGAATTTTTGACTCCCGTGCGAAGCACATAATGGGAGTCTTTGCAGTTAGTGTGTCTGTGTTCGACTGTTCCACTGCTATCTCAAGAACCA